ACAATACACAATGAAGGACGACGTTGACTAACGTTTCATCAAAGTCAATACTTAAGTCAGACGTTATAGACATACTAGTGACAATGTACAGCGAAATAGAATAAGCAGAAAAGTTTTAGGACAAAAAATAACCTCAACCACTTATTTTCAATGCATAGAATTGACAGAAAATGCATGATAACCTAAAACAACAAACATCAAGCAGTGATTATCAATTTGTTCCGTAATAAGATGTTGAACTCATCAAAATAAACTAATTATAACGTCAATAACCCAATAACCAGAGCAGCTGTACAGTGATAGGCCTCTGCATGTAATTCTTGTTTAACATCACATGACACTCAATGCTACATCATCTTAGTATTGTTATCTACCCATTTTTTTTCATACGCACATTTCCTCATTTTTTTTAAAAAGTTCTATCATTAAAAGAGAACACATTTATTCGTAAGATAAAATGGACTGATCCTAATATGCAGTATTACTGATGACTCAACATTAAGCAATAAACAGTTTAATATATTTTGTTTAAAAGCAGTTACATTTCAGGGGCGTTCACGTATATGAGATTAGAATAAAAAAGTGTAGTCTATTAAAAGAAATTAAAATTCATTTGTTAATTGAAATATATCTAAACCATCTGTTGCCATGATTACAAACTCATATATATTTCATAATAAAGTTGATAAAGATCTTAGTATAATAATAATAAATAACAACTAATACCAGTTTTTACAAAATGTCTACCAATTTCACCATAAGCAGTACTAATCAAGTAAAATACGATCATATTGTTTACTTGATGTTTAAGTGATACAACTTCAAAAAGGAAAATAACCGGTACCATTAAGTTTGTATAATTTCAAAAAAAAACGTTTACTATGTTGTTTACGAAATTGAGAGGATGAAAAGTGAATGTCTGTGTTGGTGAACACGGAGAGTCCACTTAAGGGTGTTGGAAAACCCCAGCAGTGAGCATCCACGATCCCGCTCGCGGGATTCGAACCCAGGGCCTTCGGTCTCGCGCGCGAACACTTAACCTACTGGACCACTAAGCCGGCACCCAATGGTGATAATGTCTAATATCAACCAATCCACGAAGTTGCGCGACCATCTTCCATTTTTCTGAGGTAGATACCTGTCTCTACCCGACATGGATTAGCTCCACTGGTCACAGCTCCTCACTAGAACTCCGAGAATTCCCTCACGAAGCTAGTCACTAGTGAGCACATATTAATTACTAGTATAGGGGTTGTGGAGATTATTAAGTTTTTGATTGAGATCATGAACCGATGGATGCGCACTGCTGAGGAGTCCCACAATAAGACGAAACGGCCGTCCAGTGCTTCCAGGTTTCCAAAGGTGGTCTAACATCAATCGGTACATGATCTCAATCAAAAACTTAATAATCTCTACAACCCCTATACTAGTAATAAATAATGAGAACTATTGTCATACCATTTTAAATTATTTCATTTTCAGTAAAATAATTAATAAAGTGTTGAGATAACTTTTTGATTTGGTGAATAATGCTAATCAAACCCACTAGTGAATTGTTTTCATAGCACACTCACGGTAGATATATTTTATTTATGAGTACAGTATAAAATTTGCTATATATAAGATTTCGATTCGTAACTTAGATTCCAATGATTTTACTTGAAGTCTCAGTCTTAAATACATTTTGTACACCAATACAAGAAAATATATGATTTTCTCTTTGGCTATATTTAATTCATGAAGAATTCATGTTTTCCACGTAAGGAATTCTATCATGTTATAAAGCAGGATAAAGATCAATAGATTAATTTATAAGACTTGAGTGGATTAACTATGAAAGTACTATAAAATGAATAATGGGTTACACCGAAATATGAATCTCCTAATGTCATGAATTCGATGCAAGTATCCAACAGTACAGAGAGATCACTTATATCTGATATGCTTACACCTTCGACGAAACATAAATATAATTCCCCCAAAACCAAAACCTACGTGAAATTTGAGTAAATCATGATTATAAATTAACACCAGTAGCTGAAATAAGCATACAGTGTCACTGCATCTTAAGTCTTCATTATGAAACCTAGTTGAAAACCTAGTTAAAAAGACATAAAAACACTTTATTTTGCTTAAATAAAGTGTTCACTATTTTAAGGAGATAAGAAAGAATCACTAAGGCTCATAAAAGCAATCCAACTTTTGTGATTAAAAACTGCCATTCAAATTCAAGGCTGATTAAAAATATACATAGTTGTGAAAACACAATTATTGTCTTAATTGGAATTCATATTTATACCATTCGGTTGAGATCTATGAGCCATAAATTGCCTCTAAAACTTTGATGAGATGGAAAATTGTTTTTTCAAAATTAAGGCTAACAAGTTACTGCGAATATGGGAGTCACAGTTGTACAAAAATGTTATTAGTTTGCCAACTTATATATATATATATATATATATATATATATATATATCACTAACAGAACGATATGACTTTTCCAAGTTTCAAATTTTACACGTCCAACAAGTTTCACAATAATCAAAATGAGGGTACAGAAACTGACAGTTTTTGTTACAGTTAAAGATAAGCATTTCGAAAGAACGCATTTAAATTTTGCCTTCTTCAGAAAATCGTCATATACAAATCTAGGATATTTTAAAACATAAGAAATACGTTTGTGAACGTTGATTTGGAAAGCAGGACAATACGTTTTTGAAGTCAGAATATTTTACTCAAAAAATCAAAATACAATACAACTGACCTGAACAACAACCTGAAAAAAGTGATATCAATACCTAAATCTTTTTTGGACATTAATGAAACTATACTGTCAATTATAAATACTACTTGTTTGATGTTTGTTTGTCCGAAATCCCCCCTTAGAAAGCACATTATTCCTTCAAGTACATAAATACTGCTCACAATCTGAAACTGAAATGAGCAAAGTGCCTTGAAATCACTGTTTGGCTACAGGTTTTATGATACTTGATGAGTGAGTAGCCGTCCAATAAAAGATCTGTGTTTCGTCCTATCCGAGAATGTCCAACAACTCAGTGCTGATATACACACTAAAACTCGAACCCGATGACAATCGCTTCAAATTTCAAAGCACGATTCACTAATATATTGAGCTCAAACGTTTATAAACAGACCCATTTGTAAGGTTATCGGGCGTCTTGAGTTGGTCAAACAAGAATCTGTTGAATAATTCTATAAAATTATTTCAATCAAAGATACCATCACTAAATAATCGTTATCCCACTAACATTCATTTCGTTAACAAACGGATACAAAGGTGGCTGTAATATTTTAAGCGATTTATCAAGGTGTTACATCAGCACAAATCTCTGATCAGTCATTTCAACGTGTAACCGTGCACAAATACGTGGTTGTTCGGTTTGCTCCACTGCAAGTGTGTATGTTTATCATCACAGAATCATATGTTAGAAGCTTTGCAGATTCCATATTATCTACGCTGATAAAAATGACATCGCTACTGGTAAATAAAAATGAACTGGGTCGAAAAGTCATGACAAGTTTTCATATTAAATTAAATGCTGTAAATGAAAGGATCACTCCTAACCTGCTTAAAGCGCATCGAGAACCTTTCGTCGAAAGCATTGACTGACCGAAATCCTTATAATTTGCGCTACCTTGCACACTACAAGTTTAGCCAGTTTAAAAACAAGTAACCATTTCGCTATGCTATTATGGTATGACATCTTTAACCAATGTATACATAAGTCAGGTATATGTTGCGTATGACTGGCTGATTGACATCAAAAGCACATTTGCTTGAAACAACTTCCTATAAAATATAATGTACGTCAGTAAAAACTGCACTACTTTCTCTGCATCCAGTAATTCAGTTAAATAAACCACCAGCATAAATTAATAAAATACGTAAACGTTTGGTGAGACGTGATTATTCGATTCAATATCGACATATACTTGAAAATACTTTTAAAAATTCCTTTATGAAATCTTGAATTTTATCACCACGTCTCAGGTCGCCACCCTTCTTCAGTCGTTTCAACCTAGTTGACTGCATAGTATCCCTAACCTCAAGATAAAACCAGTGACTCAACGTTGTGAGCCTGTACTTGCCAAGTGCTATGAATCAAAACTACTAAAAATAATGTTTGTTTAATCATGTGAAAAATTCTTTGGTCAATTGTTTCGTAGGGCCAGTGAAATATCACTAAGCCCTAGCCAAATCACCCGGCAGTTGACTTACTGAATATCGAGCAGATCATCGATCCCTGGCAAAGTCAAGGACGACCAATGCGCGTCAGTTAATCGTACACCATGGACTGGCCAATGCGGAAATGGTCTTATTTTCGCTTGTACCTACTTTAACTAATATATTTCTTTAACAACGTCCTCTGCGTTGAACAGTCTTCAAAGCATCTATAGTACCTTGATACGTCAATGGGGTAGTTCACGTAAAGTGCTGACCACGAGGTGTGACCTCTACGTTAGCTGGTTCGTCACACCGTTCTCGTCTAACTCGAGTAGGTCTCCGATCATTCGGCATAGATTATCTACATTGGTGGTCTACAGTTTTCAAGTCAGATAATGCAGTAGCCGATCAAGCAATTATTAGTTTGAAACAATCCAGTGTTTTGCTAGAGATCCATTTTCAGTAGATATACACATTTAAAAACACCTTATTTTATAAAGTTATGGGAAGACAATAATAAAGAGAAGGGCTATGGAGGAAAAACAAACTTAAACACATGTTGTTCTATTACATTTCGCTTTTCATCTGCTTCTGACTTCAGGATGCTTAACGTCAGGTTAGCATTGCCCAAGTCTTTTTATAATGAAAATGAGTCGAAAAAGCACATGAACGACCGTGGGCAATTCTAGTCGCTTAACTACGACCTAGATATCCCGTATGAGTGCCTATGGTGCGATGAATGGAACTGCAGCATAGAAAAGATGTTGCATGAGTATATAGTAATCAAAATACAAAAAGACAGTCAGAAGCTTACTCGAGGATAGTCCAAAGTGAAGTGACTTTTTAGGTTTTCGTGAAGACAATCATCTACTCCCATTAGAGGTTTGACAACTGACACTCCTGGGGTATCAGTTAATACGACAGATCTTTTCGGATAAAATAAACATCGACTACAGATGCAGAGTGTGAAAAATGAACTTACGCTGTGTATAGCGATATCAAAAAGAAGCAAATTTGATGAAAATATACGAAGAGTACCAGTAATGACAGAACAAATATTCCCAATGAACACAGCTCTTCAACTTGGAACATCTCTAAATACAGTCATATGGTTCAACATAAACTTGAAATGTTGAAGTTAGTTTAAGGTCGTAGTTAAGTTCATGTCCTTTCAGAATTCAAACTTCAAGCTTTGTCCAAGAGATTTATATCTAGATAGTAAGATAGTTTACATATTTACATGTAGTTCTTATCATGATTGAATCTTCATAGGTTTAAAAGTTGTATCAGTTAATAAATAGGCGTGGTTGGAGAGCAACACAAGATCGTCCATCGACGACTATGCTTTGAAATGCTCTTGTGGTTGAAAAACTTCATTGTAATTCTTTATACTGGGCAATCAAGTTGTTGAAACTAAAGATGAAAATCTGTAATGATTGAATGAATGGATTGTGTTTCAAATTATTAACACTACAATAGGTCGAACACCATATTGCGAAACTGGACATGAGACTTAGTGTAGGGACAAAGTGGTTCTAAAGAGGAGGGTTCAGCAGACAGATATATGGCGAGCCAAGCTACTTTTATCGGAACAGTGAAAAGTAATATTCAAGTCAGTTCGGATTACACAACACAATATAGCATTTCCCACGTCCATCCTCATTGACAGCTGCGAATACTTATTACATAGACCACAAATTGAGGCTGAAACGAGTTTATCAGAGAACTTCTAGAAGGTTTTGATCATAAATCATAAAAATAAGTCCGATTCTTCAATCCATTCGAATGATGTTATTAGATTGCATAGTCCGAGGTAAAGCCGTCAAAAATAGCTTTCAAAAAAGGGCATAAATGCTATTACAATAATATGCAGAACGACTGAATTTTCTCAGACAGATCATCCGACAAACGGGATACAACACGAAAACCATTCAAATGAATTAAATTTCTATCTCACAATTTCACAAGATAGTTGCAATGTCTCCATTCAACACACAGAGGTGACATAAAAATGAATCATAATTTATCATTTTAAACCCAGTTACGGCTAGAAAAAATAGGATGATGTGATCTGCAAGTACGCTTGAGTTTCGTGTCCATTTAACAAAGTGATTTGAATCAAAGCTAACCAGTAATCGTTGAAAACGTGTAATGAAACATATGAAAATGCGATATGGTGTGGATGCTTGACTGAGCGCTTCCAGTAAAATTAGCAAACATAGCTTCGATGTCAGAAACTCACAGACATGCTTAGTTTCAGGATTTATTTACCACTACACCGTAGAACGTAGCTCTCTGGTGTGATGGTTCAGATTTACATAGATAACGATGAAGTAGAATAATCATTGGCGGATCAGACGGAAGAGCTCCTGACTGATTGTTACACTACTCATGTAGACTCCGCTTGTGGTAAACGTGTTTATGAGAATTTGTATAGAGACGTGAGTGATATTCCGAGTGAACTAAACAATGTAGATCACCAAACTTCAGATATGTATATGAAACCTATTCAAACTAGTGATTGTTTCAAAAGTTTCTTTAGCATGACCGAATAGGGATATTCTGCTATCAGTTCACTGTCAACACGATATTTGAAGACGAACAAGAAAAAAGATAGTTAATGTTGAGAGAAAGAACATTTCTGAAAGCTTCCCGAAAATGGTTGGCGTGAGACCTACAAGGTGCATGTTCAAAGGATAATAAGTATCCTACATGGTCTCCACAGGGATTTAACTGCTTTGGATCTATTAGCTTTGTCCATTGAAACTAACAGTGTGACCATCATTATAGAACACCCACATAGCTTCTTAATATAGAGCCACTCACTACTATAGTTATCAATACACCACCCGAAAAGAGGTTGTTAGGCAGTCTAACCACAACTAAAGTAACAAGTCGGAGCTTCGTTTACATCGCCAACGTAAGTGATTTGTGTGGATGGTACGGGTTTACTCAAGTTATGTGCGGATATTGTTACTTTTTAGATCCCATTGTGGGCCCAGAACGTAGTTAACACGTAACTTGGATTATCCCATAGTAATAAACAGGTTCACTGTATTCGCAGGCAACCGGATAGAATGAATACCCTCGGTCATCAACACCAGATGGTGTTATAAATATGTTGCAGAAGTACAGGGAGGGAACCCTGTAGCATATGACTGCTCGTTGCATGAAAATGAATAAGTTGTGTTAGTGATCTCTGGTTTTGACAATTTTCTGGAAACTGTCCAGCGGTTTGTGGTCTGTCGTCCAACATGGAATCAGACCACCTTGATGAATAGCTTACCTGAGGATTTAAAAAATCTTTCTGGCCCCACTATATTTCACTACCGGATCCAGCAGCCCTTCGAATCGACATCCAGGCGGCCTGTTAGAATATCTGGGCTAGCTGTTCCTCCGATCTAGATATTTCATCAAGTTATCTGTTTTGTTGTTTGTTTTAGCACATCATTATGTCTATTGTGCTCACAACCTATTCAGGCGCGTTTATAAAAAGTTTACAACCTTTCGCTATACAGGATACAAAAAGGTACAATCAGCGACATCATGGTGGCTGGCAATATGCATTGAAACGAATGAACATTAATCAAATGTGGATTACCGAACTCCTAACATCTAACTGGTCATCATTTAAAATTGATCGTCACAATCGATCAAGATATAAGAAAAGGAAAATTTTTGAAATATTTATGCTGAGAATTCTATGTTGTACCAAAAATATAATGTTGAATAAAGCTTCTAATAATAATCATCGACAAGTGCTTAACAGTTTTTCAGATAGGCATGGTACTGCTCATGGCACGAATAGTAATACAGCTCTGGTTGTACAGTAAGTATATTGTGAATTGATATTTGTGATTGCGCTTTGCAAAATGCAAGTCGAGTCCTACCCAAGCCTATAGTTAGCAGCCCGAGCAAAAATACAGAAGTATAACTGTGGGCACGGTGAAAACGTTGTGTTCACTCCAAGTCGCCCGCCGTTTCTTTTCAAAGACACGGAATGCCTGGTGTGTAGTGGTCGTTTCGTATTTGAATTGCTGTGAACTGGTTGGTGCTCGGTGGACTGCATGATGTTCAGATGTTCTCATACTTAGGTAGGTTTTTACTGAAATATAACAGCAGGATCATACTAAAGAACAATAATCTACTTTACTCTGCCTTGTGCCCCACAGTTGACCTCGATTATTGCTTCATGATATGATCTTGAAAACAAATTGTCCAACGAAACCTCACCAATTTCGTTGGAAACTTTATCTGGTTCAGAAAATAACGTAAAATCAGGTGTAAAGCTAAAACGTTGAGAAGGAGAACTACTGAACACAAGTCAATAGCAAGTAGGTGCTGAAGGTAAGATTCATCGCGATCATTAGTTTCACTTGATATTCAACTTAATCCTCTTGCATGACGCAAGTTTCTGCTTAAATTAAAAGAAACGAGTTGTGTCTGCATGAAACATGAAAACAGTGGTCGGATATTTTTGGTCGACTGAGTAGGACCCTTCGAGATGTGTACAAGCACTTATGAAAGTATACGTCGGACGGTTGTGACATGGCAGTATCCCTGACGTCATATTCTTCTGGCATACATACGAAGATAGACTAATAAAGGTAGGCTCAGTCAATAACAAAGTACAAGCCGCATCATGAAATATATTCTTATAAAATGAAGTCCGAGCGAGCTAGGTGACATAAATGCTTACCAAAATAATACAAGAGTTTTTATTTGTAAATGAAACAAACAGTATTCACGGATTGTACGAAACCAGTGTTTTGAAAGCAGAGGACTGTCGATAAATACAGTGGAAGGTTTGTGATGAGATCTAAAAGAAATGTTGAAATTACTTCTTAGAAATCTTTAATAAATAATTGAGATACCAGCTTCACTAATGCATAATTTGGTGTAGTCTATGCTCTACCATATGAAACATAACTGTTAGTATATTCAGAAAAAATTCCAAAAGTTATCCTGTTTAGTCTAATGCTATCCTTGAACCTGAAATGGTGTCATATTCATATTGGTCAATATTTATTTCATGTGTCGTTTAGCTACTGGTCAATATTCACAGAAGTCCTAACTGTATAAATGTGCATTTTTCTGTAAATTATTATTCTTATTCCTATTCTTATTCTTCTCCTGACCCCATAAACAATTTTCATCTACTGTTCGTGTTCTGATATATTGGAGATTGGGGAGCAGTATTGGGGTCGTACTGGGATATCTAAAGTTGGTCAGTCGGTAGGAATTAGAGTAGACACCTAGCGGTCCACAGTAATAACTAATCAAGCAAATGGGCAATTTATATCGCATTCAGCACGTATATAGCATAGAAGCTAATAGAATTCAGCCATAAGTGTCTTACTCGCTATAAACAATGCTCTTAATTCTCCAACCGTATTGGGATTTCATTTATTCATTTGGTATTTGCAAATAAATTGTAGGCTCCACATAAACTACCGACATTTTTTTATTTTTCTTCTTTAATCTATAATATGTCTAATTTCCTACCTGGAGGCATCGGTAATTTACGGCTACTAGGTATGGAAGCTCGTTAAGTGACAGCTTCTTCTATTCCGTCCAGAACCATTCGAAACTACTACTGGAGAGAGAAGACCTGGTTAGGATAACCAACTTTTAAATGCAAAATTCCACGGTGGTTCGGTAAAATGTGAAAATCGCACATTAAATATATCGTTGGCATGTCTTTGGAGTGTGTTTTACAAACCTCATCGTTCCTTTGTTCCTGTTGTCCTCTTGATTGCTTTTAAGTTTCTTCTCTATTCTTTCCATCTCAGCCAATTCAACATTCTGTTCACAGGCATTCCACTACATCTATCTGTCAACACAAGTGACATACACCACATCACTTACTGAGATAAGGGCTGTAAATTAAAGGTAGACATTGGGAAGTTTGGCGAGCGACGGTAAAAGTGCTGTCCGCAGATAAAAAATAGGGCCGTCAATTATATTCGACGACACGTGGTATGTGCGCGGGAACCTATAGCCTAACCTTTTTTGTGCCCTTGTTTGTTGTTTCGTAATCCGAAGTTCAAAATCTAACGATTGTACTTAAAGTCACTAAGGATCATGAACTATTATTTACAGATATGATTGATGCAATGCCGTTGTTCATACATGGCAACCACTG